TTCTCATCACCAATCTATCACATTAATAACCAAGTAATGTATAAATCTTTTCAAACGGAACCATAGTTATAGAAAGCATTATGTCTAGTGTAATCTAAAAGAATACTTTGTCAAAGTCGCGATTTCACGAGTCATTGTTAAGAACTATCTGTACAAACAATTGGTAACTATTAATAAAATAAATTATAAAATAATGAGACTATAATTTATGGATGACCTTTGAGTGATACCAAAGTGACATTGAGAGTGTCTACCTACTTACCGGAGCTAAATGAGGGTTGTAAAGTAGTTTGAAGAATAAGGATTATGATTCACAGCCGATGGTTAGGAATTAGAATTAGTTTTTCATCACGAACTAACATCACCTAAAATGCTAAGACGCTATTTTGTCAAATAGGTGAACGAATTTCACGCTAAAATCCAAGACCTGTTATCCTAAATCTGATTGATGATAGTCTCGCAAGTCAAATATTGGGGACTTCATAATTTATCCCATTTATAACTGATAATACGATTCTAGTTATGAAACAATATATATTTTAATCTATAACTTGTGACTAATAAAACGGAATATGATAATTTATACAATAAAACATTGTAGATATACTGTTCACTAAAAATAGCTTGTTTATATAAATATAAACCATGCAAACCATTAAGATGTTTAAACCAAACAATAACTCCTTTTTATATCACTACTTACTTACATTTAGTTAAATGAAATAAAGTTCACACTTTCAAGGTCAATAAACTGATTAAGAGGCTGTTTTAAGTATATAATTAATAATTACAAATAGATTAAATACTTTTAAAAAAAAAGTAGACCATATAAAGCTGGTGATAAATGCAGATTCATATTTCATAAAGCTGTTTAAATATAAACCATGTTCAGTCAATTAATTTGTAGAAACTTATAATTGTATTACTGAAAACTTGTATATCTGTTTTATTCTGTTGTTTAACATACAGTAAAATTCTTTCTCATAAAGATCTTATTAAAGTTTACTACTAATTATTATCATTATTCAATAGTTATACAAATATACGAATTATTTTTTATTCAGTTTCTGTATTATTATGATAAATGAATAAACTGATAAGAATAGATGAAAAAATATAAAAAGAACACACACTTCAACAAGTATGTCTCCAACCCTAATGGACTGATTTGAATTGGTGATACAATTATATGCATAATTTTTCATCTAACTGTTAACTTGGGCGTCTAAATTTAGTCACTTTGTCTGTTTAGAAAAAGAAATTTTCTTTTTTCAAATAAATGAAATGTTATTTTGTATATTGCTTAGGTTTGTATTTGTGATCATTACTAAAGAAATGTGATACAATGAATAAATAACATTAATTTATGCGTTACACTCATTGATTCTGTTACTGTCAACGATAGTTATAATAATAATAATAATAATAATAATAATTACTATTACTATTATTATTATCATCAATCGTTTGTCTACAGAGTGATACAGGAACGACTGTATGATCAGTTAATCAGTCGCGATCGAGATTCGTATGACTGACTGCATCGTAACCTCGTTATGCTTAAACAGATAAAGGGGATTGTTATTTAGATTAGTGATTTTTATCGTTAATAAATAGCGACACATAGACAAACATATAAAGAAATAATTACATATACACCCATATATGTAGAGAAAGATAACTCTTGAATCGTTTGTTACCTCATACAGGGTTTTTTTCTCTCTAAAAAGACTGAACAGATGGATAATATCAACACACTGTAATACACCTATATAATGAACTAAAATAATAATCTGATAAACGCTTTGTATTTATTTTATTCATTATACGAATAAAGGTGGTAAATTGACCTCAAAATGATTTTTTAAAAATAACTATTCAAATGTTCTTTTTCTGAAACTAAAATTTCCCATTAAATAAGATAATGAATTGAATCAGGTTCCCTAGGTTACATAGACCTCAAAAATACTGATAGATATATCTTACCTGTTTGACTGACCTGTGTGTATGTGCATGAATATACATAACTGTGTATTTTGATAACATGCATATGTTTGTATTGAAGTATTAGATAAAATGAAAACTTTGTTGGGGAGGGGGACTAAATTAGTGAACTACTGGTTGTAAACAAAATAAACAATTCGTTTCAATTCCGAATCTGTAATAAGGTAAGTAATGTGTGTATACGTAGACATGTGGAACAAAAATCACAACAAATTATTGTATTATTATTATTAGTGTTATGATTATTACTATCTATGGCGTTAATAAACTTTTCTGAATGGCAATATATATATATATATATATATATATATAAATGTATCGATCAGATAAGATAAACTATTGAGATAAACGGAATAGTAGACGGGAACACATAAATATATACATCGATAATAATAATAATAACGACCAGTAGTAACACTACATTTAATGCTACATCGAGAAATAACATATATGGCATATCAGTAATCATGATATCTAAAATGAATACGCTAAGATATGATCGTTCGTCATTTTTATGATAAAAGCAATTCGAATTATTATATATATATATATACATACACATACACACAAATATATATATATATATATATATATATATATATATATATATATAACAAGTTTATTCGTGAAACTATATATCGAGTTAGATATTTATTCTTGCTCAGTGATGAATTCGATAATAAGTTGTCATTTTGTTTATTTGTATTATTATTTTTTTATAAAATAAAATGAGATAACCTACTGAATAGGTGAATTAGAGAAGTTTATATATTTATTCTGATTATGAAATCGTAAAACAAATATTAACAATATTTATTATATAATTGAAGTATAGTGGATTTGAATCGTTAAAGTATATGACTTGGTGCAATTGGGAGATAAGTTCATGTTATTCACTTGTCAGTAAGAAACTGAAAGTGAGAAATATGAAACTTAATCATTTAATTTACTTTAATAAGATTATAACCAAACTATACGATCATTAAAATAAGCTTTCTCTTGGTTGAACTATTAATACATATTTCACCGGTAAAAAAAAATTAATAACCAGATAAGCATAAATTAACAACTATTCACTTCAATTATAAAAACCTATTGACTGTATGATTTATAATTAGCTTTATCCAGTGGTCTTATATTTATGCAGCTACTTGAGTTTAAAAAAATATCATCATAGTAATTTGACACTTTCTTCGGACTCAAATCTAATGAGATTTGTGTGCCGCATATATATCTGGTGCCCCTTGCACCAATATTTATGTATTAAAATAAATAAAAATGTTATCAAATCTTCAATTGAGTGAACATTTTATGATTATTTCAAATAAGAAACTGAGACTAATATATATATATATATATATATATATATATATATATATATATATATATATATATATATATATATATATATATATATATATATAACTTAGTTTAACACTTTGGACTAGTAAGGTGAAAGTTGAAAACACTTTATTTCATAAACTTTATGCAATCAATGTCATTAGCCAGTAAAAAATGCATAGAGCCTATATTATGCTACAAAACTCTGTATGTAGATATTGTTATCGACTTAAATCTTGAACCTCTCACTAAGTCAGGATTATTTACACAACATCAATAAAATTGAACATGTTATTTCAATATTGTGTATTGTAGTAAGCTGAACTTGAGTAAACCCAATACAGTACTTCGGTCTGAACACCTGGGTGTTATCTTGGAGATTCATTAAACCAGTGTAGTTTAAAGTTACGTATGTAGACCCATACTTCGTAAACAAGCTGTCAAATTAAAACCGGAAACCGAGATTCTATATATAGCACAGTGACTACAGACACATGGAATTTTGTTAAGGATAGTAAGTTACAGCATACTAAATGTTTCTGTTATGACATTAAAACACAAACTGCGCGAAAAAGTATATCTTTCCAGTTATCTCCTCATCAAGGATCTCTACTAACATATAGTTCTCACAATTTAGAAAAATGGTAATAAGAAAAAAAGTAGTCATCCAATTTAACGAATTTCTTAATATTTTCCCTAAAGACAATAATCAGGTAGTTACCCGACTGATGGACAGTTAAAGACAGTATTGTATAAATGGTTAGTCGTAAAAACTCGTCATGTAAAAACAGGAGTAAGGACTGAGTATTGGATTAATCATTGGGATAAAATAATCAATACTATTTATGGAATTAATAGTATGTAATTAAGAAAACTGATGAAAGGAGATGAAGCAACTTAACTATTAAAATATGTAGATTATTAGTTAAGACTGAACAGAAATGAAAAATGTTTTTTAACAAACCTACGAGTATTCATGTAGAAGGCCAGGTTCAACTTAGAGGTTTTGTAAAAAAATTTCTGTATACAAAAACTATGTTCAGTGGGATTTTATGTATAACTTTGAAAGCTGCACTATGTAGTGACAGGTATCAACCTGATAAACCTAAAATTGACGAAATTGTTTGACAGGTATCAATATTTTTAAGATAAGTTAACAAAATCTATATTCATTTTCAGAGGCTGAGTCCCATACTAGGACGAAACAGCCTTTCAGTGCTTTCAGGTTTTCCATAGTGGTCTAGCTTCAATTGACTCATGATTTCAACTGTATTTTTTTTATCAGATATCCAATACATTCATTACTAAAAAAGTTATTTAAACTGATTGCCAGTTATGCAATAGATGTATTTGATAATCCAAAGGCATATCCATTGTAAAGAAGTCAGTCAGCTACAACGTACAATCAGGCACATATATGCATCGGTCCAAGTTGCAATACCGATGCATTGTGAAGAAGTGATTTATACAGTCATATAACGTTAGAATTTTAACTTTCTACTCGGGATATTATACATGTGTCAATAAATTTATCACCACCAGTTCACGAAATGCACAATTTATCTGAAATTATTTATCATTTTTAGTTGTATCCATAAGTGTAAAGGAAAAAAATATGTTTATATCGGAAAGTAGATATTTTAAAATTGACTTACCATTTGAATCCACATCCATAGATGACGTATCCACAGTAATTGGTTCGCTGACAATATAATCACTATTTACTAATTTAACAGTCAATTCGTTATTCGTAAGTCCAATAGGGCTTGTAGTAGTCATACGTATGCACAGACAACTGAAATGTACTCATCAAGTGTGATTTTAATAATAAATTGTTTCCTGAAATAAGTTAATCCTGAAAACCAATGAACAATTAGTTGTTCCTTTCAGCCAATCAACGGATAGTATTTTGAGCCAATCATACTATAGATAAATGAATCAAGTAAAAATTTTATGTTATTAGAATATGTAAATAAGAATCATTGGATTTCGAATAATGTGAAATTGTGCTGTTAGATTGCTAACCAATTACTTGCAACTGAATTTCGATATGTCAGATATGGCTGAGATTCGATATGTGTACGCAACTCAAAAATAGTTGATAAGTTGTATTCCCAGAAAAATTCCTTTGAAAAGACAATAAGATGGAGAAAACTTATACAAGCTTTTCATTTTCCAGTTAATAATTCAACGATAATGATTACTTTGTTTATGACATTTAAAGGACAAAGGTCATGGTTGTATGAAAAATAAATCAAATATTTTGAAAAAAAAATGCCAATTTCCATGGGGTTTTGTTCTCTGAGCTGGATGGTTCGGTCGTGGAGCTTTCATAGTTCTTCTGAACGACATCCTCAGCACAAACTTCAGATAAAAGTGAAGTGTTTGAATTTCTCCATATGTGTTTCACAGCTTGTTCTGTACATGTAGTTTGTGCTGATGTCATTCAGAAGAACTATGAAAGCTTCACGACCAAACCATCCAGCTCAGAGAACAAAATCATCCACCTGAGCTACAAATCTTCTCAAACGTCAATTTCATTCATTAAACTGACTATTCAAGCATTACAATATATTTTGAAGAATGAAATACTTAGAGCTTACTCAATATTTAAGTGAATTAGTGGATAGACTGATTGAAAACTTACGGTCTATTTAAAAAACCATCCTTTTTCTAATCAAACATTTAGGGATGAATATATCACAATAAACTATGTAAAATAACAAATACTAAATCCAGACAGAATGTGTTAACATTCATTTTTAGGTAGCATTTAAGTATTATGGGTTTCGGTAAACATCTACCGAGTAAAACGAAATACCATTTTAAGTTTACATACCGTATTTATATTATGGTGTACTTCTTTCCATTTAGTGTATTAACATTCATGATGATTGAAATGGAGAATGTTTTTTGAATTGGTCTAATTCATTTATAAATTAATCTAAAAACCAGTGTACTAAATCGAAAAATCCACAAATTATTGACTCTTAATAATTTACTTTACTTATCTGTGAATTTCAACACTAAATAAAATTTGATACTTGAATCACTTGACTTTCAATCATTAGTTTCAAATATTCAATCCTATTTCACAAACGAAATGTCCACTAATGACAACTACATCAATCTGTTCATTTTGATTAAATAATGGATCAAATATTAAATTTAGGCTACATACTTTTAAGCAAAGATGAATAGTTGCTAGAAGTGGAATCCAGGACTCGCGTTTCGTCCTATTTGAGACTCGTCAGCTGGATGTACCTGCATCTCAGAATTGATGTCTACCACGGTACTCCAACCCAGTACCGTTCGTTTCAAACGCCATCGCGTTATCCACTTATCCACTGAGTCCTGATAGCTACTTGCTTGTGCAATGGGGTGTAGTTTGAATTCACTTGTTATTGTTCACTTGAATCTTTCTATTGATGTTTAGGACTGTAGTTGACCAGTCTCTTGTTGGCATATGTGCACACTACGCGGATCTCCTCGACACTGCCTTAATTCACAAACATTCTAAACAATAATGAACTCAGTATCTAAGTGGATAAGGTGATAGCGTTTAAAGAGAAAAGTACTGGGTCGGAGTCCCGGGGTGAACATCAAATTTGAGATGCAGGTACATCAAGCTAACGAGTGCAAATTCAAAGAAACGCGCGTCCTGGATTTGATTGCTAACCACTATCCATCTTTGCTTATAAAGCTTGTAACTTAAGATAACATCGAAGCAATACGTACAGTATACATAAATGCCAATAAGAGACTGATCCATTGAAGTCTTAAACCTGTCCTTTATTTGATTTTGTTTCATTCTCTGAATATCGTCAAAACGGAAGAAATTATGTGTGCTTACATAATCATAATGAAAATTCAGTCATATTAAATTATTCTATTTATGCAATGAAGAAGGAAACAAAGTTTAAAAAGTCACAAAATAACTTGCGATAGTTGGATTGCAAAATATTCAAGCAATATTAGTGAAAGTTTATTCTTTATCAAAGCATTTCTTGTCTATGATCCATAATGTATATGATTTCATAGAGTCTTCATTGATTTCTAGAAATTTTCATATTTAATAAACCATTTACATTTATCGTAAAATTAATTATAACAACAACGAAAGTTTTATGATTCAACGATAAAGATAAGAGAATATAATATCACTGAAAATAAATAAATTGTGGCAACTTCTTTATATCGATAACATGAGTAACTACCATTAAGTTCTAGAAACTATTCATTGAATGCAACTAGATACTTCAGAAATGATTAATAAAATGATTACAGTTTCATAGTATATCAGTTAGGCTCAAAATTAAATCATTTAAATAGACGAGTGGACTAAAATAAGCTTACTGAAGTTGCAATATTGAATACAGCAAAAATCAGATAACAAGAATTTACCTCCAAAGTATTTATTCAATTCAATAATATTATTAGCAATCAAAGCAACAGCAAACATTATCTAACTATTCATTGAAAGTAAATTAAAATCAATAGATTAAAAATATTAAAAAATTAAGTCAAACATTAAAAGTAGATGGAAAAAATTAAAAAAAAAAGTTAAACAACAAATAAACAAATAAACAAATAGATAGATAGATGGATAATCCTAGTAGTTAACAGCAAATACAATTACACTAACTAGATATCTTTTCTGCATTATTGAAATATAAATGGTAAAGACTACAGATTATTTTAATAGTCGTGTATATTATCTATCTATCTATCTATCCACACATCTATCTATCTATCTATCTATCTATCTATCTATCTATCTATCTATCTATCTATCTATCTATCTATCTATCCACACATCTATCTATCTATCTATCTATCTATCCACACATCTATCTATCTATCTATCTACCCGTATAATATATATATATATATATATATATATATATATATATATATCATGCGAGAATATAAAACATAACAAATAAATTTACTGAAATCAAATGTAGAATAACTTTCTACTGAAAAACATTATTGATATTCTCTATAGTCATTTGATTTTTTACTCACCCAATTAAAACTCTTACCCTTTACAATTCAAGATTACGTTTGTCAATTTTCAAATGGAGTACAGTAAAGTATATTATGTTTGCTACTTAAATTCACTTGATGTTGTTTGCTTATATCTTTCCATTATTGTTTAAAACTGCAATTGATCGACTTCTTGTTGGTGCATATGCATCCTGTGTAGATTGCCTTGATATTGCCTTAATTCACCAGCTTTATAAGAAAAAATGGATAGTGGTTAGCAGTGGAATTCAGGAAGCGCGTTTCGTCCAATTTGGATGTGCCTGCATCCTAGAGTTGATGTTTACTCCATTAGTTAAAAGTGTTTTATGTGTACTTTAACATCATTATTATATGCATTAATTTATCATATCTATTCTTCAATGTAGTTTATAACATATATAATAATAATAATGGCGATCACAGTTTTTATACGAAGTTGTCAACTTTATCTTGTGTTTAGAATATTTTAGTGTGTAAATTGTCATTTGTATACTCCGCTTTGCAATGAAATGAGGCTAAAATCAATTCATTAACCCTTCTTTAAATCGTATAAGTAAATTAGATCGTAATGAAAGAGATTGAACGAACCAATAACCCACGATTGGAAACATGTTCATGTACATGCTCAGTTCATCCTAGTTTTTGTTATATTTGCTCTAGAACCGTTTCATATGATAGTACTTACTTACTTGCCTACTTACTTACTTACTTATGCCTGTTACTCCCAATCGAGCATAGGCCGCCGACCAGCATTCCCCAACACACTCTGTCCTGGGCCTTCTTACTAGCTCTATCCAATGGTTGTTCATTTTTCTCATGTCTATCTCCATTTCCCGGCGCAATGTGTTCTTTGGTCTTTCTCTCCTCCTTCGACCTTGAGGATTCCATGTGAGGGCTTGTCTTGTGACGCAGTTAGGTGCTTTCCTCAATGTGTGTCCTATCCACTTCCAGCGCTTCTTCCTGATTTCTTCCTCCACTGGAATCTGATTTGTTCTCTCCCACAGTAGGTTGTTGCTAATAGTGACCGGCCAGCGGATCTGAAGTATTTTGCGTAGACAACTGTTAATAATTCTTGTATCTTCTAAATGATGGCTTTCGTAGTTCTCCAGGTTTTGGCCCCATACAGTAGAACTGTCTTGACATTTGTATTGAAAATTCTGACTTTGGTGTTTGTTGACAGTTGTTTTGAGTTCCAGATGTTTTTCAGTTGTAGATATGCTGTTCTTGTTTTGCTAGTCCGCGCCTTCACATCTGAATCAGATCCACCGTATTCATCAATGATGCTGCCCAGATATATAAAGGTTTGTACATCTTCCAAATCTTCTCCGTCAAGTGTGATTAGATTGTTGCATGCTGTGTTGTATCGGAGAATCTTGCTTTTCAAATTGTGTATATTGAGACCTACTGCTGCTGAGGCTGCTGCTACACTGGTAGTCTTCTCCTGCATTTGGTGTTGTGTGTTCGATAGAAGAGCCAGATCATCTGTGAAGTCTAAATCGTCCAGCTGCATTCTAGCTGTCCTTCATGTGACAGTGGTTACTGTTTAATTGATCAACGTGTTTATCAGTTAAAACAATCTGCGTATATTAAAGGTCAAAATATAAAGGTCAACTAATATGTGTATGCAGTTCATTATTGTACAGATCAACTGATAAGATAAGCACGTTATCAATTACTTAAATCATAACAAGTTGTGAAGACAAACAGAGGAATAAGGTTATATTAATTCTTTTTTTTTTCAATAATAATTAAAATTTCAGACAGTTTTCACGTATGGTCAGTACAAAGC